TAGAAATAACTAATTGGGAAAAGAAATAAGTCTCACTACAGTATTTCAGCAAACACAAAGGTAAGTTCATTAAAAACACAGAAAAAACAAAAAAAAAAAAAAAAAAAAAAAAAAGAGAAAAATGCCGAGTAATTACAAGCACTAAATATTTTGGCTAGGAAGCTTTGGAAATCTATTTACAGACATAAATACAACTCTGGGGATGCAACCCTTGGGAAGAGAAGGAGAAAAACGCTGAGTGGTTGGGACTGACCCAGCGAGGTGAACAAAAATCCAACGGGAAAATGGTACAAGGCAGGAAAACAAGGCAGAGTTCTGCTCCGAGGACAGAAAACACATCCACTCCTCCCTGAATTTCAAACAAACCCATGGAAAAAGTCACCCCAGGAAGCAGCAGTGAATGTTTCGAGAAAATCTGGGATTTTTTTTTGGCAAAGGCTTTGGGCTGTTTGGAGGAGAGGATTTCTCTCCTTCCCAGCAGAGAATTTGGCATCGTTGTACAAATCAAACCCTTCACAGCTCTCTGCATCCTCTTCTCCCTGCATTAAAACTCCTCTCCAATGCCCTGGGAGTGAGCAGGAACTCTTAAATGAGTTAAAACCTTGCAAAATTTACATTGGAGATATTTGATGTGGACGAGGAGTCGTGTCTTGTGAAAGGAGCACCCAAGCTGAGAGTAAGGACAGGGCAGGAGTTGGATTTTGGGAGGGGGAGGTTCCTAAAGCTCTCTGCTGACTGCAGCTCCCCAGCAGGAGCACAAAAATTCCATTTTTCTGATTCCAATCAGCTCCTGGGATGATAAAATTATATAAATATATATATATCTTATATCCATATAAAAATAGATGCTCATACACTCTAATTTGGAGATGGGGATGGGGGAAATGTTAAATCCAAATGTGGTTTTTTCTGCCTGTTAAGTGCTCTTAAAATACAAGAGGAAAGATGTGAGAGCGTTTTTACAGCCTTGAAAAACTTGGCCATCCTTAGGCATAGCTAAAACCCCCAATATTTGAGTAAAATGTGGTTTCTGATGAGTGAATACACTGAAACCCACAGTGATTAAACAGATTAATTGCCAGGGGTAATGAACTTGGCTTTTCCTTTCCTTTTTGCAGTGCTGGACATGCCCAGAGAGGTTTGGCTCACAAAATTTGGTTGCTGGCAATAAAAACAAGGGAAATACTGAGAAATTCCAGCAAAGTGTCAATAAGGACACAGGGGAATGTGGTGGTGACCAGTTCTCTATTTCCCCATCCTGTTCACACCAGGCAGAGCCTAATTAATCACTAATTAGAGCCTCACCTTTAGGGTGAGTGGAGACAAAGGAGAGGCACAGACATAAATGTTTGATTTAGGGTCTGAGAGCTGCCAGCTCCTTCTTCCTGTGAATCCCTGAGTTCTGAGCTCCAGGGTGGGTGGGTTTCAATTCTGGGGGCTGAAAGGGCTGTAGCTGAAAGGAGGCTGTGGTGTCCCACAGGCCTGGCAATGTGGTGGCCACAACAACCCCACCTTGGTGGCCACACTGACCCCACCTTGGTGGCCACACTGACCTCACCTTGGTGGCCACACTGACCCCACCTTGGTGGCCACACTGACCCCACCTTGGTGGCCACACTGACCTCACCTTGGTGGCCACACTGACCCCACCTTGGTGGCCACATTGAGCTCACCTTGGTGGCCACACTGACCCCACCTTGGTGGCCACACTGACCCCACCTTGGTGGCCACACTGACCTCACCTTGGTGGCCACATTGAGCTCACCTTGGTGACCACACCAACCTCACTTTTGCCACTGGGCTGAACTCATGGAATCATCAAATCCTGGAATGGTTTGGGTTGGAAGGGACCTTAAACTCAACCCATCCCAGCCCTGCCATGGCAGGGACACCTCCCACTGTCCCAGTGTCCAACCTGGCCTTGGGCACTGCCAGGGATCCAGGGGAATCCACAACCTCTCAGGGCACCCTGTGCCAGGACCTCACGAATTTCACAGGGATTAATTTATTCCAAATATCCCATCAAGCCCTGCCCTCTTTCATCTTAACACCATCCCCCTTTTCCTATCCCTGTTGATAAAATTCCCTCTCCAGGTCACCTGGCCTTTCCTGGCTCCTCCAAGCTCCTTTCCCTGCTGTATTTCCACTCCCAGCTCTGTGCACTTTGGTGGTCCAGTCACAAGGCAGATGTGAGGGCTGTAATCAATTATGATTTTAATTGAGAGCTGTACCAAATTAGGGCTTGAATTGCACAGAATGTGCTGGATGGGTTCTGCAGCAGAGCTACTGCTCAGTGATGGGGGAGTTTGGGTTTTTTTTTTAGGGTGCTGAAGAGGTGAGAGTCCAACTGTGGAAATGCTACAACCAGGGGATCTCTGTATTTCTGTATTCAGCAGGGTCTCCAGACTTTCAAAATACATTTCTGATAGAATTTGGATGTTTTCTGTCTTTTTTTCAGAGCAAACTCTGGAAAAGTATACAGGATATTCTATTCAATGAAAAGCACAAGGCCATGTGTTTTAACAGAAACATTTTGGGCTTTTGCTGAGATCTCTTGAAACACTCCCTATTTTCTGCACAAAAACCTTATTGACCTTATTGACAATGGAAATTCTCTGATTCTTTTCAATACCAAAGTGCTACTGCATCCAACTCAAACAAAGAAGCAAAATCATATATATATATATATATAAAAAAAAAAGAGAAAACTTGAAAAACAAATGGTTTTAAATAAGTCCAGCTGTTTTGCTGCCTGCAGCCAAGGATCTTTTTAATTTGAATCCTTTTAACTTCTTTTATTTTATTTATTTAATTTTTTTTTTTTTTTAAAACATCAAACACTGATCTGAAGTCCTGCTTTCAAATACTCTCTGAGTTGACCTGCAATTGTTTCTCTGGTTTGAGAGGTACATTAAATAACAATCAGCTCATTTGGGATGCACACGTGTCAACATCAGCAGTTTGGAGTTCAGGAGTAGTACAAGAGCTGCTTTCAGAGCAAACCCTCAAGAAAATAGTGCCAAAAACGTGACAGTGACATCTGATATGTTTGTGCTGGGACAACGGGCAGCAGTGATGGCTCCCTGCTGAACCTGGTAAAAAGCCTTGTAGATTTACTACAGGGCAAATCAACTTTAAAAACCCCTCCTCTTCTCCCCAAAAGATGGCAATGGAAGGATTATCCAGGCCCTGGTTTTTTTTTTTGGAGCATTCCAGGTGATCTTGGCAGCCCTGTCCAGGGATGGATGTGTTTGCCAGCAGACTGGGACGTGGATTTTGTGCTGCACAGAAATCCTGGCGAGCAAATCTCACCCAGATTCCACCAGAGCCACGATTGGCACGGGAATCACAGAACCAGGCATTGGTTTGGGTTGGAAGGGATCTTAAAGCTCATCCACCAAAATTGCCACGGGCAGGGACAATTTCCACTATCCCAGGCTGCTCCAACCTGGCCTTGGGCACTTCCAGGGATCCTGGGGCAGCCACAGCTGCTCTGGGAGTTCTATTCCAGGGTCTCCTCACCCTGCCAGGGAACAATTCCTGCCCAGTTCCCATCCAGCCCTGCCCTGTGGCAGTGGGAAGCCATTCCCTGTGTGCTGTCCCTCCAGCAGGCAGGTATTTAATTAGGGAATATTCAATTTGCCTTAGGAAGTATCTACATCCTGATTCCTGATCCTGAGGGTCACCAGTGGTGACAAAGTAGGAGGAGGCAGAGATGACTCCACCACTTGGAAAGGTACAGAAATTCCCAGGGATTTTGGTGCCTTCCAGCAGGAATTGGGCACCTCAATGACTCTGAGGGTCTAAGCTGAGTAAAATGAGAGTGAGATAATTGTAAACAATATTTTTAGGGAATTAGGAGGTCACTTTTGCCCATCGTTATTCCAGCCTTTTAAAATGTGAGAAATTTGACTTTGGCTGCTACCAAAACATGGCAATTGCTGATTTTTTTTTTTTTTTAACATAGGCATATTTAAATAATAATAGTATCAACAAATAAGAAAAGTCTAAATATCAAGCATAAATATCAATGAACTCATCAAAGAAATACAGTAGTTGAAAATGACCCAAGGCTGTAGCCGTTGTGTTTAAAAAAAAAAAGTCCAAGAGATAAAAAGTTAAATTAACTCATTGAAAAAGGGGCTGATTCTTTCAGTTGACAAAGCAAGAAAGAAGCAAGCATGATTAAAACAAAAAAAAAAAGCAAAATCTTTTTTTTTTTTTTTGCAATTTATAAGGTGCCAAGAGAAATAAAACAAGTCAGATGCAAAGCAGGATGAGCTGCATCCTTAAAAAAAAAAATCAAAAAAACCCAAAAAACACACAAAAAACCTAAACCCAAAACAAAAACAAAAACAAAAAAATCCCAGTAATAAAAAAATTCCATGTTCTTTGGAATATACAAACAAAACAAAGAAAAGAAAGAATGAAGTCCAACATATAAAACCTCTCATTCACAGCATTGCTAAAACAGAAGCGTTCACAGTTTCCCCTCTGGGAATCTTCCTATACTTCCTTACACTTAACACGTCCATAAGATGCAGTAAACTCGCTAAGATTTCTTTTTTGGTGTTTTTCTTTTTGTTTTTTTTTTTTTTGGGGGGGGGGGAGTGTTTTTTTGTTGTTTTTGATTTTTTTTTTTAAGGTTTTAAGTTCTTAAAAACAGAAGAGAACCGAAACTCTCTTTTAGGGCTTTGGAGACCTTCAAGGCCAGGCACGTTGGGAAGCCACAGGCCTGGGAGGATGAGGCTGGACACCCTTTCCAGCCACCCCGCACCGCCGACTCTTCTCCAGAACCTCGAATTCCTCTGCTGGAGCCACGTGGCTCCACCAGGGCCTGACAACGAGCTCCACCACTCCCGGGAGCGCTGACTTTTGGAAGGGGTTCCCTCCTGAAACTCGCGGGCCGAGGCGGCGAGGCCCGCAGGGAAGTTTCCGGAATCTCCCCTCCGGAAAACGACAAAATCCATCTCGAGTCCCGACCTCGCGGCCTCTCCCGCTCAGTACGGCCTCCACACGGCCTCCTCCAGCCTGGCCGTGCTGGCCATGTTGGTGGGCGAGTTGCTGTGGCTTCCCTCGGCCTCCACCACGTCGCTCTGGTTGGGCAGGTTGGGGTTGAGCAGCGCGGAGCCCGTGGAGGCGTTGGTGCAGGGCGGGTGGATGCGCGGCGGAGAGCGGTCGCCGCCCGACAGCATGGAGAACTGATAGGAACCGGCCGAGGTGCCGTAGTACAGGTGATAGGAAGGAGAGCCAGTCTGGAAAGGGCCGCCCTGAGGCTGAGAGGAGCCGGGGTAGGGCGGAGGGAGGTAGGTGTGGTACCTGGTGGCCGAGGACATGGCGGACATGCCGATGCCGATGGCGGAGCTGACGGGGGTCGGCGTGTAGGTGAAGGCTCCCGGGTAGTGCATGCGGGGGTCGGAGATGGACGGCAGCGCCGGGAAGGAGCGGTCGATTCCCACCCGGGGGTCGCTGAACGCCGTCAGGTCGGAGGCTCCTGAGAGGTTGGTGAGGGGAGAAGGGGAGAGGAGGGAGAGGAAGGTCACAAGGTGTTGCTGATGAGGGCAGGTGTTGGGAAGGATGAATTAGGGAAACCTTATAAATATGAGTGCCTAGCAAAAGACTTGGAGAATATGGAAAATGTAGCCTTTAAATCAGATGCGCAGCTACGTGGGCGTCTGTCATGACAGGAAGGAAGAGCCAAGTTTATTCAGAAACACACTTGGTTTTACAGCATCACTCTCAATTCCAAAAGTAGAGAAAAGGTGATTGGTTCAGAGACAAGACACCCCATTGCCAGGGCCTGGGCACACACCACAACAGGTGTTTTATTTTGTTATTAATTCCTTCTTATTTTGACCAAATTATCACCCTGGGAGAAATTCTCCCTAGCCTTGAGCTGGACCAGTTTATGGGCTGGGAACAGAGCTGAGAAGCTCCAACCTGGAATATTTTTAAGGCTGTAATTTTCTTACTTTCTCAATATGTGTCCTGCAGGAAAATAGAAGTGAAATAGAAATGAGAGCAATTTTCGACTGTGTGGCTGAAAGCAACTGAATGCCTGCAGGCCCCTTTGTTTAGATAATGTTTGATGCTGCCAATACCAAAAAACCAAACAGACATCCTCCCCAGGCATGGCAGGAAGGGTCCCAGATAAAATTTAGAGATGAGAAAAGCAGTAAAACATGGTGATATAGTGATTCCTATAGGTTGCATGCAAATGTCAGAGAATTTGTATCTTGTATTAGATTGGTGAGTGGAAATTAGAATATTCAACATAGAAGAAGATTTATTGTATTGTAAAAGGGAAAATCTCTCTCTTATGCTCTAACTCTCTTCGTTCTTACTTTCTTAAGCTCTCTTCTTTTACTCTCACTCTCTCCCTCTCTCTGCCCTGCTCTGAGCTGTGGCTGCAGTTCCTTGCAGGACTTTATATAAACCCCCACCCTACGAAATAAACTGCAAACTTTAAAACCAGAATAAATAAAAACCTGAGTTTATCCCGACCGTCCCAAAGCAGAGATTCCTACAGGCAGGGAGGAGTGTTGGGGAAGATGGAAATGGAAAACCTTATAAATGTGATTGCCTGGCAAAAAAAAAGATTTTGAGGGTGTGGAAACTATAAGCGAGATGGAAATGAAAGCCATGTTTGAGATATCAAACCTCAGTTACTGAACAACCAGAAAACAATAGTATGGCCAGCTGAAAGTTGATTGAACAATTCCCTCTGCCTGCAGACAGGTCCAAAGGGCAGAGAAGACCCTACCAGCTTGGTAAAGGGGGTCCAAAGAGTGGCTTTTAGGGTTTAAAGTGTCACACAGTCTGGTAATGTAGTGATTCTTACAGGCTGTATGGAAATGCTATAGGATTTGTATCTTGTATTAGATTGGTTAGTGAAAATTAGAATATTCAACACATTTATTGCATTGTAATGGGAACCTCACTCTCTTACCCTCACTCTCTTACCCCTTGCTCTCTCTTTACTCCTTTTCCTCTTGCCCTCCTGTTCTCTCAGGCCTGCTCTGAGCTGGCAGTTCCAAGCAGGGCCCTTCTACCCAGGCCCTTTTCAACAAAGCACAAATTCCAACACTTGGCTTTAGAGATCTCTCCATCAGCCCTGACCATCCAGACCCGCAGCTCCTACAGAGGAGATGTGAGATCATCGAGGCCAAGCTGTGCCTGATGCTCCCTGTGTCACCCTCACCTGTCACCTGCCACGTCCAGCCCTTCCTTGGATGTTGGGAAGGGTGAGGATTTAACAGAGGAGCTGTGCAGATGTACAGAAGGTTCCATAGGAATGAAAGTTTTGATATAGAAGAACAGAATTGCTGGGCCAGTCTGACTGGGGAACGAGAAGGCAAAGAGCAAAGGGAGTTGGGAGGGGCTTTTATGGCTTAGAGCAAAGGATAAACCCACCTCAAACAAAAGATGTTTTTACCAAACAAAAGGATTTTCACAGGCAAACAAGAAAGGCAATGCTGCAAGTGGAGAAAAGATCTCAGAAATCCCCACAGCAGAACAATCCCAAAGTTTACCATGTGACCACTAACTGCAAAGATTGGCTGTCCCTGACATAATGTGGTGATTTCAGCAGTTTGGATGGGCTGTGTGTCCATGGAAAAGGTGCTGGGTGTGATGCTGATTGGCAGCCATGGATTCAGATGCTCTGCAATGAAAAGTTCCCAATGCACTGTAACCAGAGCTAGAGGGGCTCCAGGACACAGGGCTTGGCCACAGCCAGCAGCTCTGGGCTCCCCCAGCACCCCCAACTGCTGTCACCTGGGCTGTGCCACAAACAGCATTTTCAGAGCTGCCTGAAGCCTCTGTCAGACTCTTACAATTGCTTAGATCAGGGAGGAGATCTGAGATCATCGAGCTGTGCCCCGTGCTCACTGTGTCACACTGAGTGATACAGCTGATCCAGCCCTTCTTGGACACCTCCAAACCTCCCTTTTTCCAACCCCTGAGCTCCCTTTCCATGGGGAAATTCCTGCTGCTGTCCAAGCTGAGCCTGCCCTGGCCCAGCCTGAGGCCGTTCCCTCTCCTCCTGTCCCTGTTCCCTGGAGCACAGCCCGACCCCCCCTCCCTGCCCCTCCTGCCAGGGACTTGTGCAGAGCCACAAGGTCCCCCCTGAGCCTCCTTTTCTCCAGCCTCAGCCCCTTCCCAGCTCCCTCAGCCCCTCCTGGGGCTCCAGCCCCTTCCCAGCTCATCACAGAATCCCCAAATCCCCGAGGCTGGCAAAGCCCTCCCAGCCCCTGCAGTCCCAGCTGTGCCCCATGGCCACCTTGTCACCCTGAGTGCCACCTCCAGGTGCCACCTGCAGGGATGGGCACTCCAAAGCTCCCTGGGCAGCCCCTGCCAAGGCCTGAGCTCCCTTTCCATGGGGAAATTCCTGCTGCTGTCCAAGCTGAGCCTGCCCTGGCACAGCCCATGTGCTCTCACTCTGAAATGTTCCACATTAGAGTCAAATCCTGCTCTGCTCTGTCTGACATCCATGGAATTCCATCTGGTCCCATCCTCTCTTTTCCCTGCCTGGATTTTCCAAGCAGGGATCCTCCTGAGGAAGGATCCTCATCGTGACTCAGGTCAGTGGAAGGTCTCATCCTCAGAGCTGGCAGCATTGCCTGCTTAGGATAAAAACAATAATAATCATGGAAAAAAAAAAAAATCTTTCCAGAAGAAAAAAAACTTCTGGCAGCCAAGGCGTGGAGTCTGCAGCACAGGAGCCGTGTGCTGAAGGAAATATTCCTGAGGAGGAGCAGAGGGAAGACAAAACTCTTGGCTCTCCTCACATTCCAAGCTGGAGCAGACTGAGTCTGGGATTCTTGGAGCAGACACTCTCCAGAGCCAAGCTCTGAAAGCTCATCAGGACACATCAACATTAATGAGCTTCTCTTAATTTCTTACAAGAGCTCTGAACTTGCTGTTTGCTTCCTTTAGAATTTGCCACCCTTTTTTTTTTTTTTTTTTTTAATTAAAGGGAACACAATTCATTCCCCCAAACTCTGTCACCTTTAGGTTTAACATGGGAAAACACACGATGGGATGGAGCAGCAGGAGCTTTGGAGGAGCCAAGGTTAAGGTGGCATCTGCCAGATTTTTAATGTTACTTCCACACCTCATTCCTGAGAAACTTCCTAAAATTGCCTGGCTACATCATTAATCACAGGAGGGTTCATTCTGCCCTGGCAAAAAGCAGAGTAATGACATTTAACATCAGGATGGTTCAAATCTATCCCATATTCTTGTTTTTCCCTTGGAGACACCGGGTGTTAAGTTGGGAGGGTTTAAAATCCTCCTCAAATTTGCTCTTTGTTCTGCCAAAGAGAAAATTTTTAGAGACACCAAGTGTGGGTGACAGCAAATGCTGTGACAGATTTTCCCAGGAATGCTGAATGACATTTAATGTCAGGAATTAGAACAGGAAGAGAAGGATGCTGACGTGGGAAGAAAACCTTTCTTGGTTCCTTCACAAGGAAACTCTGCCAGCTCCAAGGAAAATCCCTGTGTGGCCATGGGCAGAAAAAGCAACTCTATGGAGAAGAGGTGGAAAACAGAAGGGGCATTCGAATTTTTGAAATTTTTGTTTTCTAATTCTGTGTAAATAAAGAATGAGAATTTTTACCATTTTTTTTTTTTTTAAAGAAGAAATAGCTTTTCCTGAAAAGTTCCCTGTGTTTTCAGTCCTCTCTACAATGCAGTTATCACCCAGACCTAACAAATAATTTAGATTTGGTGTGAGGCTTTCAAAGCAAGCTCTACATGACAACAACAGAACAGGCTGGAGCACGTTCAAGTGGCTCCCTCTGATCTTTGCAGAAACCCTGAGCCTTCAAATGAGAGCAAGATGTGGAATTAAAGGAGGGATTTTTGCAAAGGCTGTATGTAAATTCGAATGATATGGCTCTCACTCATTTCTAGAAAATTCCTGCTGCTGCACACACAGATTGGTTCAAGATGTGCAGGTCAGGGACAGTTAAATTCGCTGGAATCACGGTGGCTTTCACTTCCATTTTTTTTTTTCTGGTGGCTTCTAAAGCTCTGCAGGATGATTTGATGGGCATTGGAAAATGAGAGAATCCAGTGCAACATTTAAAATGTCCAACCCCACCATGGTGCAGCCAATGGTCCACCCAGAACCTGCTGTGCTCTGCTCTGGATTCAGAGGGAGGGAAGGAAACAGAGCTGGAATATCTGTGCCATCCATTTCTTGGCAATCTGATAATTCCTCAGCAATCGAAATTATTTTAATAGTTCCCTACACCTTCAAAGTGCTGCTTTTCCTCCTTTTCATTCTTTTTTTGACAATTCTCTGCTGGGTTCCCAACCCCAGGAGCAACCTGGGATAGTGGGAAGTGAAAGTGGGCAGGGGGTGGGGATGGGATGGGATTCAAGGCTCCCTCCCACCCCAAACCAGTTTGGGATTCAGGTTGGACAGCAGCAGGAATTTCCCCATGGAAAAGGTCAGGCTTTAGAACCAGGGAGGTTTGGTGTCCC